TATATTTAAAGTAAAGTGTGATCCGCTCGACGCTCTTTAAATCGAACGGATATCCGCTGTTGAAACTTTAAAAGTAGAATATATCCGCGCGATACAATCTTAAGGTCGTTAAATCTGAGAGAGAGATTTCCGAAACTTAGGAATGTCGATAACGATGCAGGAGCTAGGCGCGCCAAAAACAGATCGATTTAATATCGGCGTGGTAATTGGCTCGTGTGGTACGTAACTTTGATAGAATCGTGATGAGAATATCGATAGATGAGGAAAGGTGTTCGCAGAGACACGTTTTTGAACGTCTCCTGCACGAGAACGGGAAAGGGAATTAATTAAATGACGCCTTACAGAAGCGTTCTGGTTACTCTCGCGTATAAAAGTTTTATATTCGCACGCACACGTCGCTGTTCGAGTACACTTATTTTTCCACGTACCTGGAAGCTAATTTTTCTTTTCCTTTTTTATCGAATATTTTAGCTCCACTGTTATTATTATTATATTTTTATGATAAGGGGTCAACAAGGTTCGAAACTTAACTAAAATTTCTATGCTACATTTTCCTTTTATGGAATATTTTAGCTTGTTAAAACATATTTTAATCATACTCGAATAATATGATTGTAACTATGAGTTATAGCCTCTTTTTTGAATGTATAGAAAATCATCGGATTATCCCTTAATTCTTCTGAAACCGACATCTAACTCGAAAACTATTTAACTATATAATCGTTTTTATCAGAATCGTGTATGTTACAGTGCGTCACCAGCCACTTTATCCATATACGTTTACCAGCCTCGAAAGGGTTAATTCGCTCTCTGTTTAAGATTCGATTGGTTCGTGCTATTGAATCTCACCGATCGATACAACAGAAAATCTTTTATAAATAATCGTGAATAATGGTCGTGCAACTAAAGATTAAATATCATTGTGATAACTGTATTGAACATTCAATAATCGAGAGAACATATGTTCGTGCTTAACGAATCTTAAACTAGATTTTGCGAATTAACGGGGCTGTCAATGGATCATCGCGGTCATTTCTCGAGAATGTTCTCGGTATTCGCAAAATTCCGCGGAAAATCACAAGAGAACTAGCCGCAACCGTTGCAAAAAGATTCGTACGAGTTCAGTTGAACCCTGTCCCATTCTTTGGATCGTTTCCCATCGAATCGTTCACGTGTGTTGGTACGTCAAAGTTTCCAAAAAAACTGCAACTTTCAAGAGGAAAATACGAGAGAATCGCTAATGATTTGAAAGAAATGTTTTTTTTTTTTTTTTTTTCTTTCCAGTCGATGCTTATCTCTTTCAGGTAATTCTTGTATTTCACATTTGTCAGGAAGCCTTATCGTTCGAATGATTTACAATTTCTATTCTTCCCTACCTGCTGATTACAGATTATATGATGCTCGATACTGCGAAGAACCGTTTGTCCGTAAATAACTGAAATCGACAGAAATTAATTAAAAAGATAAGAGAAATCCCCCGCGAAAAATATAATATACATATATATATATATAGATATATATATATATATAT